AGCATTACGTCAGGATGACATCAGCGGTCAACGGAACAGTCCAGGTCAACCCTGACTAGTGGGTCCCGTGTGTCTGTGTAATTAGTTTAACTAAATATTAATTAAAACTAATCCTGATTAGTTAACAGGGCTGGGCCCCACCTGTCATTGACCCAGGGGGGTCAAACTGGGCCCACCCGTGGTCAAACGAGGGGTCAGCGGGGTCAACTCGCCGGCGTTTAGCCGCTGGCGAGGCCGAACGTGGCGGCGAGAGTGGTTTTGTGCATTCCGGCGACCAAAAGAGCCGCGGAGGGCATCTACGTGTAGCTGGGAGCAAGCCGCAGCTCTTGGTGGCGTTGGTTGAGCTCGGGGTGGCCGGAAACGGCGCCGGTGACGACCTTGGCGGTCGCCGGAGTTCGTGATGATGAACCCGAAGCTACGGGACACGGCGAGGCTCGTGGTGAGGTGCTACGGGTTCCTACGAGTGCGGTGAGTGCGTTGGACATGGTGGTGTGGCCAGTGGGTGGCCGGAGTCACGTCGGTGACGAGCTCCGCGGCGGCGCGTGCGGGTAAGCTACGTGCAGTCGCTACGGGGCTCGGAAGCGAGAAAGGAAAGGGGGAGAGGTAGCTGGGCTCACGGCGATCTCGAGGAACCAGACGGCGCGGTCGGGGACGAGCTGGTGCGGTGGTGACGGCGAAGGGGATCTCCGGTGATGGCGGAGTCGGGCGAGGTCGGTGCAGAGGCCTCGGGGCAAGCGAGCGCTCGGGGCTCGGCTAGCTCGAAGAAGAGGAGGGCGGCGGAGCTCCTGGACACGACGGCATGGCGCAAGGACGATGGAGAGCACGACTACGGCGACGGTGCGGCTGCGGTGGCGTCGGCCATGGCGTGGGAGAGCGAGGGAGAGAGGCAGAGGCAAATGGAAGTGTCCACGGCGTTCGGGGCGCGACGTGGAGCTCATACCCGGTCAGCAGAGAGGCGAGGGGAGGAAGCAGGGCGGCGGGCAGCTGCATGGCACGTGCTGGTGCCGCCGTCGAGCACCTGCCTGCCTGCCTGGCGAAGGCAAGCAGCTCGCTGGAGCGGCTGCTGGGCTGGGCCGGCTAGGTGGGCTGGCTAGTTGGGCTGCCAGGTTAGTTCCCTCTCTCTCTTTATTTATCTTTTTATTTATTTATTCTGTCACTTTGTGGACTTACTAAAAATACCTAAACAACTCCAAAATTCACCAAACTGCTCATGGCCATTAACTGGAATATATCCAGCATGGAACATTTTAGTTTGGGATTATTTGAGCATTTAAAATAATTTATATAATTTAAATGCCCAAACTCAAATACTTATGATTTAATTCAAAGACCTTAGGATTACCTAGAATATTGTGCACCACTTTTGGCAGAGGTTCTGAACCAAGGCAAAAATGATGGACATTTTAGAAGGGCATTTCAGGTTCATTGAAAATATTTTTAGTAAACCCTAGTTGGTTTCAGAGGGGGCTGGGGGTTCTGTCATCCTCATTTCAAGTTTCTGTTGAGAAAAATAGACATGATGCAACACTCTAATGCATGAACTAGCTAGGGTGTGACATGAGAGGCCCACTTTTTTGAAGTGGAAGAGAGGTTTTGTCCATGACATCTCATTGTTAGCTCATAGGATTAAATCCATGACTTAGTTAGATGGGTTACTTATTTACCCCCTTGATAGGTTAGTTTTTCTTTTTTTCTTACTCCCAACTGGTAAATATTGTACTTGTTTCCTTTTTATCGATAAAATCTAGGCTTGGGGGGGGGGGGGAGTTTGCCCACAGTAAGCAGTCAATTTTTTTATTGTAATGCAAGGGAACCCCCAAATACTTGAGGGGAAAAGAACCAAGCATACAGAAAAATACTGCACAAATTCCTTGATCTCAGCATCATCCACACTTATTCATAAAAGATTGTTTTATGAAAAATATTTTTTAAACCTGAGAGGGCCTCAAAACAGGAAAGAATCAACTCAAGATTCCTAGCATAGTCCAGATATTTCTCCAGAAAAACGATAGTGTCATCAACGTATTAAAGACAAATGACACCTCCAGAGACGAGGAAGAAGTACTCAAATCGAGCCATGAGAGGGAGCACTTTCCAACATTTTAGAAAAAATGTCAGAACTAAATTAAAAAGAATGGGAGATAAGGGGTCCCCTGTTTCAGACCTTTGCACTAAAAATAAGGTCATTGGTATCTTTGATTCTGACACAAAAAGAACTTTGGAACAAACCATTTCAATACATTTGATCCATTTATCACCAAAACCTAGTAGCATTACTAGAGGCAAGTCTATGTCACAGGCTTTCTCATAGTCAAGTTTAAGTACCAAAGCGTAAGAACTTCGAGAATAAAACGGCCCGAATAAAGACAACTTGATTTGGGGAAGTCATTTCCCTATCACCAACTAACATGAGAGATCCTATTAGTCATAGGCATAGTTTCAAAAAATACCACAATTGCCAAGGTTGATAGGCCTAAATTTTTTCATTTCCTTAGCATTATTCTCTTTGGGGATCGAAGTAAGAGAAACTAAGACAAAAAATATGAAGAGAACATTCTACTCCAAAATCTCTAATAAGAAGGAAAGACCCCCATGATGGCACTCTTAAAATCTTCCTAAGTATCTCCATCCCAAAATTCTTGACTCAGATTTGTCAAGATATGGATGTATCTAACACTAAAATGTAACCAGATACATCCGTATTTAGACAAATCTAAGACAGGAAGGGACGGAGGGAGTACTATGTGGCCGACCCTTGCCCGATTTGGAGACGACGAGTTGATCCTACGGCCGTGTGACACTTACCTCCTACCCATGCATGGTTTGATCCATAGCATCGTCCAAAAATCGTCCGAGAAGTGTCGTCCGTCTAGCAATACTTCTTGGAGAAATGTTTTTGGAGATTAAGTTTTCTTCGTCGATCTTGGGCAGACCACAAATCACTACCCAAATGCATATTATTCCTATATTCAAAACCAAACATTTTTTTATACAAGGAAGTTTGCCACCTTCAACATTGTAGTAGTCTGATTTTCTTCCTGTTATCAGTCTAATTTTTCATGATCTGTGTGGATTTATCCAAATCATCCGAAGTTTCTGAAGATTTGAGCTCGTGTTGTACGCGGTCTCTCCTCCCCTGCCTGGCTACGCTGCTACTATTCTGATGTCAGGCAGGATGAATTACCTCATTTTCAATGTTGTGTTTGCCTCCTGGGCCTGGCTTATCACTGGTTCCATTTTGGCCCAAGATCAAGTTGTGTTTTTGTGTGTGTGTGTGTTTGTTAGTAACGTCACTGCCGCCTATTCTCATTACTCCACATATAACCACGTCACTTTGCGTTTCTGTCGTGCACAGCACCGCACCGACCGGACTACGACACTGCGACATGCTGCTCCACCATCCACCCCAGTGCCTGCATCAGATGTCGATGCAACACCGGTCGATGTGGCATTGCAGCCCGTCCTTGTGGAGCAGACTGAGCTACTCCGCGCTGAGCTTCGCGACTACATTGCGTGAGTTGGGAGTGTTTTGGCAAGTGCAGAGGCTGCTCTGGCCAAGCTCCAGATTGTGCCCGTTGTGTCCCTGTTGCCCGAGATCCACGATGGTTCTGCCGATGGGGAAGCAGGCATGTATGGAGATCTCTCCCCTCGTGCTACATCCTGCCTGTCATCGCTGCATGTCATGTCGATTGTTTCCGAGAGTGAAACCGTTGTTGAGGTCGTTGCTCCGGTGCTGCAGATTATGCCTGAGCTGCAAAAGCTTTGTGAGGAGCCCACTTCGCCTATTTCGATGGTGCTTCCTAAGGAGATGGAGTCACTTGGAGGGGCCTTGGCGATGCCGACTACGACCTCACCTCCGTCGTTGGAGCCCAATCAGCTGATCACCTTTGTGAACTGTGGGGGTTTGGATGCTGCTATTGTTGTCCCATCTGTGGCTGTTGGCCAGGTGGCATCTGGGGGTGCCGAGGTTGATGAGGTAGGTGCTTTGGCACCTAATTATGAGGCGTTGAAGACCATCAGATCGCTCATCTTTGACCGTGAAAGTATGATGGCACGTATTGATGAGGTGGTCTTTGCGAAAAAGCTTTGCCGCTTGCTTGCTGGTTTGGAGGCAGCTAGCCCGGGGTCTGGCAAGGTGATTGCCGGCCTCCTAGCAGAGGAGGTTTCTACGGGAAAAATCAAAAAGGTGAAGAAGGCTCTCAGGAGCATAGGCAAGAAGAATGGTGTCATTGGGAAGGCGTCCGCGGCTGCTTAATGGATGATACTCAGTCTCTTCGATCACCATGGCTCGTCTTTGTGGATTGGGTGGTGTCTGTTGTATTCAACCTTAGTTTCGTTGGGAGTTTCATTACGACGTAGAAGTGCAAGGGATCATGGTTGTTGCGTGTTATGTATGTTTGTCGGGTTGATCGGGGGTCATCGAGTTTCTTTATTAGCGAGTAGTTTTATATGTATCGGTTTTCTTTTCTGTTAATTAACCAGGCAATTCTCTTTTTCTTAATTAATCGATGAGGCAAAACCGTTTAAGAAAAACATATAACCACAGGTTACTCACAGCAAGCAGCCGTGCATGCTTCTGCTCCGTGGAAGCATTACTTACGTTCGGACAGCCATTCAGATTTCTAACCAACATTTTCAGCCATTCAGATTTCTATTCTAACCAGCATTTTACAGGAACCAATACTATCAGAAATTCGTTCTGGAGCTCGAGCTACATAGAGCTACCTGCAGAACCGGAGTGTGCTTGGTGTGTCCAAGCAGGCAGGCAAACACAACACAGGCAGATCAGTAGATCAGACTGACTGAAAATTGAGGCAATTCATCCTGCCCGACATCAGAGAAGTATAGCAGCATAACAGCAAAATTTGGTTGATTTCTACTGAAGAGAAGGAAGGAACAGAGCTACATATGTGTTTGGTCGGTCGATTCTACTACCGAGGAGTGAGAAGAAAGAGCTACATCCGCATTGAGAGTACAAAGTAGTAGTAAGAACAAAAGAATCAACCCAGCCGGCCAGGCCCCAGCACCGGGCTCTCCATGTACAGCGGCACGCCCCGGCGCCGGCGACCGCGCCACGCCGGCTCTCTCAGACACGACGACGCATCCTCCCTCCCGTTTCCTATGCTGTATTTACACTGGTCCACGAGCGATCTTGCTCGCGGCGAAGAAGTCATCCGTTCCGCTTCTGTCGATCTGTCTCTGACGGTCTCTGTCTCGGCTCTGCTTAGAACGGGGCCGGCATGCCGCCGGCGCCGGGCTGGCTCCCCCGGAGACGGGGCGAGGCGAAGAGGGAGGAGTAGAGCAGGTCGTCCCCGGGCGGCATCATGTCGAGGCCGTTGTACATGCTCTGGATGTCGTCGTAGCTGAGGTCCACGAACAGGTCGTTCCTGCCGGCCTCCTCCGCCGCCTCCTTCTTGGGCACCATCAGCGTGGCCATCATCTCCTGGTGCGCCGCCGCGGCGGCGGGGCTCTGGGCCTGGAACGCCGCCGCCTGCTGGAACAGCGACGGGTCGTTGTCGACGATCTCCGACTCCGGCGTGCGCGCCTCGCCCCACGAGTGCGAGTGCGACTGGGACTGCGAGTGGGAGTGCGAGGTGACCACCATGTCGGACGCCGTGTTCTCCGCCTTGGGCTCCACCATCATCTCCTCTCCCCCCTGCTGCTGGAGCTGCATCTTCTCCCACTCGTTCTTCTTGTTGTAGAGCCGGCAGAGCACCCAGTCGTCCAGCTGAAGAAACAAATTCAGATCGGGATCAGAATCAGCACCAAACCAATCAATCAATCAATCAAAGCAGCAGGGATCTGAAAATCAGAACCAAATCAACCAGGAGTAGTAACCAATCGATCAAATCACGTACCCTGAGCGAGCCCTTCTTGCTGGCGGCGGCGCGGCCGGCGTCGGCGAGGCGGTACTCATGCATGATCCAGTCGGTCTTAACCCCCTTAGGCGCCTTCCCGGCATAAAACACCAGCGCCTTCTTGATCCCCATGGTGCGCCCTCCGCGGGGCGCGACGGGCTTGTCGGCGCCGGTGGCCTTCCAGTAGCCGTTGCCGGCGGCGCGGTTGGGGCGCGACCCGTTGGGGTACTTGCGGTCGCGCGGGGTGAAGAAGTACCACTCGCGGGTGCCGAAGAGGGCGCGGTCGGGGAGCGCCCACGGGTCGAAGCGGTAGAGGTCGACCTCGGCGATGATGGGGACCGGGAGGCGCTGCCCGGCCGCCTTGCGGCACAGGTAGTGCTCCACCAGCTCGTCGTCGGTGGGGTGGAAGCGGAAGCCGGGGGGCAGGTTGAGCTCCGCCTCCGCGTCCCTCTCCCTCCTCCTCACCGCCGGCATCCCCATGTCCGCTGATTTGTTAGTCGATGAAATCGCTCCGCTGCTGCTGTTGATTCCGATGGCTGTTGAGATTGTGGTGAGCGAGCTGTGGTGTGGTGTGGTGATGGTGGTGGTGAATGGGGGAGG